GAAAATGTTGATTAAATACAAGCTTAAAACTAACAAGATTGTTTTAATATTGATATTAAAGGTTTTAACATATTTGGGTTTTAATCTTGTATTTCTGCAAAGAATTTTATGTTAATAACGATAGAGTGTGTCTATAAAATAAACATATTTTATTATTTTAATTATTTAGTTATTTTACATTTTTAAAAACCATTGAGGTGTTTTAATATTTATTTTTGAATAAATTAGTATGATATAAATCTCATATGAGATATAAAGAATTTTTGTCGCTGTTATTAATCCTTGTTATCAGAAACATAGATAAAGATTTAATAGTGATAAATTTATTAATAAAAGCTTTTAATGTAGTAATTTTTGTAATATTATTCATAAAACAATTTTTTAAACTATTAAAGAGAAATTAAATAAATAAATCTTGGTTTATAAAAGATATTTAAATAAAGATAATATTAAGTGTTATTTTTAACAAGATCTATGCTATTCTTATTGTAAACAATGTTGTTTTGTATGTAACTTGTATTTCTGGATCTTTCTTTGGTATAATAAATTTATTAATTGAGAGTATTTTAAAAACTTTTAATAAACAAGTTTTTCTTGGAGGGAATTTTGAACATTATACTGCCATATTTATATAACAGTCTAGTTATTAAATAAGATATTAAAATTAAAAAACAATTTTTAAAATAGTTTATTACTAATCAATTAATTATTCGTAGAATCATTAGACTCAAGATTATTAAAAAATTTCACTAATTTTTCTTTAACTTTGTAAAGCATTCTAAAAACTTTATCACTTTCATGAAAAACATTAAACACATAAAAAAACAATTTTTTTTGAATTTTAGAAATTAAAATTTTAATTGATTTTTTCACATCTATTAATTTACTTTCTTTCTGATTTAAAACCAATAAACATTTCTTAAATAATTCTAAAACATTAACGATTTCATTAAATAAAATTTGTATTTCTTCTCCATTTTTTATAAAACTATTTAAATCAATATCAAACTTACTTAATATTACATCAAAATCTTCATTATAAAAAGATAGTTCTTTTTTATCTACTTTAGCAGTAAATACATTTATTTGATCTACTTTTTCGTCGTAATAAAAAATCATGTCAATTAATTTCTTAAGTATTATTGAGTCATTTTTTTCAAATAATTTTGGAAAATCTTTTAAAATAGGTATTAAACATTTAGAGTTCAGATCGTAATTTGACCCTAATAAAAATTCTTTCATTTTGTCGTATTTTTGATATTTACAACCAACCTCTATTATATCTAATCGTTTAGCTACTATTGCATACAAATAAAAATTTTCTTTTTTTAATTTTCTAATACTTTCTTTCTTCTCATCAACCGTTAAAGTTTGAAAATTATCATATTTATAAGTCAAAAACATTTCATTAGCTAATTTAAGGGAGTAAATATCAAAAAATTTTAAAAAACTAAGGTCGTCTATTTCCAAAAATATATTATCATTACTTACTACTTTAAATGTTTTGTAAAAAAATTTAGCCATTTTTATTTTAAAATCTGTATCATTCAACTTAATTTCATTTAACTCATCAAGACACTTTTTTAAATCTTTTTCTTTTTCAAAAAACTTTTTATCATTCTCTGTTATGTTTATAAAAACTTCTTTTAAAAAATTGATTTGAATGTTCCTAAATAGAGAGTTAAGTTCTTCTATAGAAGTAGTTATCTCTTCACTGTTTATAGTATCTTCACATCTTACTCCAATAATTACAAAAATAATTTTGGTTAATAGAAACATCACACTGCTTAAAATACTTATTAACACACTTCTCATATTAGGGTTATCAAAAAAATCAATTTAAATATTTTTAAGAAATATTTTTTTATATAAAAATTAATTATGCTTATTTGTAACTTAAAAAATTTAAAGTTTATTTTTATAAAATATCTACTAATTAATTTAAATATTTATTTGTAATTGTTGAAACGAAAAGAATGATTAGAATAAAGTTTATTAAATTTTCCCGTTGATTTATAAGTGTCGTCTTTACTTTTTATGTAAAGGTTGCTATCTATATCTAATTCATCTTTAGTGTATTCTCTCTCATTTAAATACCCTTCACTCAAATGTACTTTACTGCTCTTGTTAAATAAAATTTTTTCAAAAAAAATTTAACCTAAAAAATCTATTAACTAGAATTTCTTAAAATACATTTTATCAAATAAAAAAACTTTCGCTCATTTTAAAGAACACATCAGGTTTTATAATTAAAAACAGTAAAAATTTAAAGATATTATTTATAAAAAAACTAAAATGTATTTATAATGAGTTTCTCATAAATTTTTAAAAGTAAAAAATTATGTTATTTTTCATTAAATTTATAAATAATTACTATTAAAATTTTATAATAAACATTTTATGATTTAAATTTTTATATAAAAATTCAATCAACATTGTAAAACTTTTGAATTCACTTCCTTCATTTTTAATTACTGTTATAATTTTATGATTCAAAGATTAATTATTTTTAAATTTAAAATAAACCTTCTATAATTATTTTCAATCGGTTATTTAACAACTAGATTTGAATTTATAAAATATAAAATTGTAATTTATTTTGTTAGTATTGTTAAATTTAAATCAAATTTTAAGTTGTTTAATAAAAAAATTAATTTAAATAAATCAATAACGTAATGTCTTTAAAATTTACTAATAAATATTTATTATTTTCAATGAATAAATATTTATTAGTGAATTTTAATAAAGTTCAACCTTCAAAAATTACATAACCTTTTCTTAAATATAAGAATTTTTTTTAATATAACTAAATTGTTTTTAATAAATTCTTATCATTTATACTTCAATTATAAAAAAATGTTTTTTTTATTTTTATTAATGAAAGAATACAATTTAAAGAATAATTTCTTAAAATGTAAGCCATTAAATACACCAAATAAAAACATAACGTCTTTCTTCGATAAGATAGAGAGTGTTCCTCTTGTTAAAGATATCTATAGGTAACCATTATATTCTTTTCCAGTGATCAATGTTGTTATTCTTTCTGATAAAATCTTTTTTCTAAAATAAGTTGATGATCTGCCAGTTAAAGATATTATTGTAAATGAAGATTACTCAATTTCAAATAAATGTTTGTATTTAAGTAACATAAACTCATTTAAAAAATACATTAGTCAATTAGATTCAAGAAATTTTTTTATTAGAATATTATTCTATGATTGGATGAATAGGAATCAGAAAATTTCTTTGATTGATTTAATAATAAGAGAATTACAATTGAAGGATGTTATGTTATTTTTTCTGTCATTTTGTTTTCACGTGTATCATAATCTGGATAAAAAGTCTAAGCCGAAAACTTCTTGTATCATAAAATTTGACGATAATATTTACAATTTTTTAAAGAATGCACATAAGCAGATGTTTATATGGGTAAAAAAAGTGAGTATTTGAAAGATTCAACAAAAATCCTACTTAAGAAAATATAGATTTTACAGAAGAATTTTCTAAACTGAAATCTTTTTGTCAAACAATGCCGTATATTTGTAATGTCTGTGATTTTAGATCTGATTCGAAAGAAAAAATGTTAAAACATTTTTCTGTTTCTAGAAAAATAACAAACGTTTCATTTTCTATTACATTAATGATAAAAACAACTTTATTAAAAACAGATTAAGATTATTAGGATTAAAAAATGAAAATAAAGATAAAGAAATTACTGTGGTTGAACTAAATGATGCTGAAATTAACAAAGTTATTAAAGGCGCGTTATTATTTAAAAAACATCAGTAGCTAAAGAATTATGGCTAACGGATAAAGAATGACATGTTTGGTAGAGTTAAATTTTTAAAAAAGAAATTTTTATTCTTTTTATAATTATAAATTTGATTTTTTATGATAAAATAAAATAATTTTTTTAATCAAATTTTTATAGATTGACTTTTTTTAATTATGTTTGGTTTATAAATTAATTAATTTAAGTATTCAAAGTTTAATTTTTATAAATAAATAAAAATCAATTTATACTTTAATTTGTTTATTTTAATATAAAACTTATCTATTCTTTAACTTGGTGATATAAATTTTTTAAAAGTCTTTTTACTTGTTTATAAATTAATTTAAACTTTGAATAAATTTTTGGTTAAAATTTATTCAAAGTTAAAAATATAATCTATTAGTGTCTCTTAAAAATAACGAAAAAAGTCTAATATTATTTGTTTCAAATAAACACTTACAGAACCTTTCAAGACTGATACTTTGTAGTGAAACAGTAAATTAAATATTTTCAAATAAAAATCTAATCCATCAACATTAACACCCTTTTCAGCGATAGCTTTTTTTAAAGATTCAAAATCAGTTTCTCTCTGTACACCTAACAAAATCTCTTCACCTCGGTGTAAAAAGTCATATGATCTTGTCTTTTTAATACCTTTGCAAACTTGAGTATAAAAAGCTCTCTGACTCTTTGGATAATCTTTTATTACAAATAAATCAATATTGTGTACCTTTTGATGTGAACACCTAAAGCTTTTTCTTGCTCTCTATTAAAATCATCTTCAAAATCAATTTCATATCCTTGTGTTTTTAAATTATCTACTCCCTCTGAATGATCAATAACAATGGGTTTAGTACTAAGTTCAACATCCTTAAAATTTGTATATACTCTTACTATTTCAAGTTCCCTTGAATAATATTCCTTTAACTATCTTATCACGTGTAAAATTACTTCGTGAACAAATTTTATAACATCCATATAATCATTCTCAATATCCATCTATGTAAACTCACTCAAATATCTATTGACATTCTGTACTTTGGCTCTATATGTATATCAAATTTCAAATACTCTATTCATTCCCCGGCAATACAACTCTGTTTGTATAATTGAGAACTCTAAACAAGAAAAGCCTTTTCACCGAAATAATCTATTGAAAACAGATTAGCGCCTCCTTCTGATCCACTTTAAATTATTTTCGCTGTTCTGATTTCTGTAAAATCTTCTGACTTCAAATATGTTATAAATCCGCTTATAACACCATCCAACAATTTAACAAATACGTATGTTGTAGGAACTCTAAAATCTATAATCAAGTATCTCATTTATAATTTAGAATAGTTCTGTCTATACCTTTCGATACAGCATCTTTTATTGAAAATTCTAATTGATTAAATACACTAGAAACAACCTCTAAAGTTTCTATTCTAATTTCCCTGTTTTTAATTATACAACTCTTCATTTTTGTTTCAAATTTCATTGTTTTAATAATAATTTATTTTAAAAAATTTTATTATATTATTGTTTTTTATTGCTATCCCCTGAAATCTTAAATTAGTGAATTGAGTAAAAAAAAATATTCTATAAATTATGATTTTGATGAATTTGAGTCTCGTGATATATAAAAATCTTATTAATAGAAATTTATTTAGTTTACTTTCTTAATTTGGAATGAAAATGGTTAATATTTTAATTAAGGTTATTTAAAAATATTTTCAAAAATGTAACCCTCATGATAGAGAGAGGAGATATACGAAAAGTGTATAATATAGATAAATTGGAAGTCTGTGGATCTTCTTTATATAGATTAAATGAACTATTTATTACTACTGTAATTTCAACATTTTATTTCATATAATGTATTATATAATGAATTTTTCTTTTAACATTTAAAAAATTAAGTTATTTTAATTTTTACAGAATATTATTAATTGTCTTTTTTAATACTTCTCATTGATATAAAAACTATATAAAACCTTTAAATATTTAAAGTATCCTTTACTCTATTTAAATGTTTTGCTAAAAATAAATTAATAAAGAATACGTTTTTAAATCTTATAAATTTATATTTTCTCATGTATCTTATTAGTTAATATAGAACATTTTAAGTTTAACATTCATTTAGAAATTATTACTTTTAATATATAAAAAAATTAAGTTGATAGTATTATGAATTATAAATAAATAATTACTTTTTAATTATTAAATTGTTATTAGGTTTTAAAGTTGTTTTGTTTAATTATTTATAATAGTTTTAGTAAAAACTTTTACTCCCTTCTCATAAATTTTAAATTTATTTAACCTTAAAATACTTTAAATTTGAAAGTATAACCAATAAAAATTTAAGTAAAAACACGTTTTTTAATACAAATAATTAGAAATAGAATGTTTCTTTAATATAAATAATTATATATTTTTTATTATCTATGTATAAGTTTATTGTGACTAGTCTAATATAAAATTTTTTAATAATTCAACCTAAAAATAGTTTATTTCTTCCAAAATAATCTTCTTGTAAAAAACATAACAATTAGATAAAGTAAAAAACAACCCATAAATAAAAATTCAATATCAATTTCTTCTCTTTTTTTATTTCCATCAGTATTCAATAAAAGCAATTCTAAGCTGTCAATTAAATTATCTTTGTTATAACAAATGATTGAGATAAAAAGACTTAAAATAATACTGTAAAAAACAGATAAAATTACACTAACTAAAATATCTCTTACAAGCTTTACAAACATTGATAGAATGAATAAAATAATTAAAATAATTAAATAAAAAATATCATGTTTAGCTATTTTAAAAAATACTAAAAAACTTTGATTTTCACATAAATAAAAACTCAAACATGTTTTTAAACTCATATTTGTTAGAACTAAAAAGATCAAACTCTCATCAATGATATTGTACCTTTTAGAAAATTCACAAATTATTATGTGCATTAAAAAATCTACACATAAAAAACAAGCTGTTTTTAACCTAGAATTTTCTAAATTTTCATAAATTAAATTAAAAGGCGACGATTTTTCAAAATCTTCTTCTTTTATTACTTCATTTATTGGAAATTTCCGTATAATGTCATCAATAAAACTTTTATTATTTTGTTTATAATTTTCATTTTGCAAATATTTTAAATTAAAAGTAGAAACTGTTGATACTAATTCGTTAACTAAAAGTAATCTTGTTATTGCTATAGCAATACCTTTAACATGATCATTTAAAGCAAAAAATCCAATTATAATACAAAATATTATAAACATAGACATAAGAAAGGAAACCATCTTAAGCGATTTAGTTACATTTTCGCCTATAATAATATTGTGTATATTTAAAATATTCTCTTTGATAATTATATATTCATAAATAAATGTCAAGTAGAATTGTTTAATAACTTCTCTAACAACTTCAGTTATAATCGTCATTTAAAGGGTAACAAAACAATTTAAAAATAAAAAATAATTTCTTATATTTCAATCAAATATACAACATTTTGTTAATTAATTATATATTAAACTGTATTTTCCTAAATTATATTAAATTGTTTTATTAAAGATTTAATTATTATTTTTATTTATAATATTGTTCTATGAATTTATAAATTTAATTATTTTGATAAAAGTAATTCTTAGTAACAATATAGTTTTTTAATAAAACATTCTTTATTAAAAAATGTTGAATAAATATGCTTTAAATCTTATGTAATTTTGAAATGTTTTAATATCACTGTTTGTTCTTTATTTTTATTTAATTTAATTTAAAAATGACACTTAATCTTACTAATTTAAAATCAATTAGATTTACTTTAAAATATATTTTTTTATGGTTTTATCTTTTTATATGATAATAACTATAAATACTTATTTAATTAATAATCAATAATTTTTTATTACAAAACTATTTTAATCTTAAGATTTAACCGTTTTTACAAAAACTTAAATTAAAGCTTGTTTTTTAAAATTTCAAAATAATATGAAAAAGTTTTTTATGGTTAAAAATTGTATAAATAGTATGTTTTCTTCTTTTTATTTTTTTCTTAAATTTTATCACATCAAGTGCCTTTCTATAGGAATTTTATGTTTATAACTGGTTTGAAAACATTTTCTATTAAAATGAATTATTCTACTAAATTTTTTTAATAAAAGTAACCTTTTTTGTAGATTATAAATATTAATGAAATTATAACCAGTTATTATCGTTTCAATGTTGTTAAAAAACATTGATATCTGTTTTTGTAAAAAGTTATAAAAAAATCTAATAAGTTTAACTGATCATCTTTTAAATTAAAAATTTTTTTGATATCAAATACTTTGTTAATTAAATTATTTTTTGTATGAAAAAACTTTTTATTTAACAAAGATTTTTACATATTTTATTGTTTTAAACTACATTATTTTAACAAAAGAACAAGAGATGATAAATATATAATAGTATTGTAAATCTTTTATTGTTAATTTGAGTATCATAATTATTATTCTAAAAATTCTTGTCTTTTATTAAAATATTATTTAATATAGATATAATCTTTAATAGTATAGTTTAAATAATTATTAATAAAAAAATCTAAAACTTTTTTGTTAAAAACATAAATTTTAATTAAAGTTAGATATTTATTATTTTAGAAAAAAAAGAGTAATTAAAAATGCTTTTTTATTTATTATACAGTAGTGTTCAAAAAAAGAGCTGGGTTATTTTTTAAACACCGCTATATTTTTGTTTTATTATAATTTATTTTAAATGATTTTATAGTGAAATAATCTTTTATTTTAATATAATATAAATTTTTTTTATTTCAAACTTTTTCTTTAAATTAAAAAAGTTTTATTTTTCTAATTTTATTGATATTTAAAAACTTTTTAAAGTATTTTAAATATCAAAAAAGCTTATTATTAAATTTTTTAAATTTTATTCGTTATAATTAATAAAATTGTAAATTAAAAATAAGTATTTTAAAAAACTTTTATTGAAATATGAAAAACTAATTTTTAATAATTAAATAAGAACATGTTCTGATTATATTTAATGTTTAAAAATATAATACTAACGTAAATATTTTTATTGTATTTAAATTCAATAATAGTATGTGATAGAAACTTTTATCTTTAATTAAAATCAGATAAATAATTTAGATTTTATATAGGTATTTTAAAAAAGTATAGTTTTAAATAATATTTATATAAAACTTAAATGTTTCTATTGTCATATTAACAATCTTACTTGTTAATTTAATAAAGAAGATTGTATATGTTATAAAAAGGGCTTTAACTAATTTTAAATTAAGTAAAATGATTATTGAACTTACATGAATTATACATATTGTAAAAATCAACAGTATCAATAAAGAAAGTGTGTGTTTAATCATTATTATTAGCTTCTTTGTTTTATTTTCTGTATTTAAATTTGCCTTCTTCATTTTCGTGGGGTTTAAAATATTTTTAATGAAAAATTTTTATTGAATTAAATTCTGATAGAATAAAAAATTGTTGTTTAATTAAGTTTTCTTAAATTTTTCTCTCAAATATAAAGAGAATAATTTTGCTATTACTTTGATTTTTTTAATATTCAGAAAATATTAAACCTTTATCAGGATTGTTTCAGAAATTTCTAGAAAAATAATATCAAATAAAACATGTATGTATTTACATTAAATATTGTGTTAATTGTGTAAAATTTAAAAAAATCAATAGTTTGTTTTATCTAAATTTCAAATATAATATTTTAATAATAAAAATAATTTATTTAACTAAAATGTTTTAAAATAAATAAGAAAATTTTAAATTTTCTAACTAAACTAAGCTGTTATCTAGTTTATTTAATGATTGAAAAATGTCAATTTTAACTTATTCCATTTGATGTTTAAGAATATGTTTTAAAAAATTAAAAATTTTCTTTATTTTTGTAAAAATCCTTTAATTGTATATTTTTCAAATCAAATTTTTTAAAAAAAAGTACATAAAAATGTAAAAGATTTTTAAAATGGGTTAAAATTCAATAATTTTATTGTTTTTCTTTAAAAATTATTGTCAGTTTTTTAATTGACTTACCCTACACAGAAGAAAGTACATCTATAGTATTAAGTTTTTAGGTCAATACTTTTTAAATATAAACCTGTTAAAATATTGTTTGATTCAACCGTAATTTTTTATTTGTAAACCGAAAAAAAAGAAATTGCTTAATCTTTCTTGATTGTTCTATATATAAAATTGATTTAATATGACATATAATAAGAAATGTTTAAAATTACAAAATTATCTGTTTTTCTCATTTTATAAATATTTTATTCGTTGGTTGAATTATAACTTGTAAAAAATTATATTGTTTATTTTTAACTAATTATCAAAAATAACTATTAAAACTATTTTCTTCTATATTTTATAAAACATCTTTATTAACAGATCTTATAATATTTATTGAATAAAAAATTATTTTTGATTTAAATACTTAATCATGTTGTTTTTTTACTCAGCAATATTAAAATATTATCGATGTATTTTCATTATAAGAATTGTTAGTTATTTTAATAAATATATTTAAATTGTATAGTGTTATTACCAATACATAATTGCAGTTTTAATCACAAAAATTTTTTGTTGTTCTTGAATTCTTTATTTTATTTTTTTATCTCAATTATATTCAATCTATGACTATTCACTACTCTAATTGTTTAAATAATTGTATTATATAGATATTTTAAATAAATTATTTAGAAGGCTTTTTATTATTGAAATTAATTAAATTTTATAAAAAAATTTAATCATTTTATGTCTGTTAAAAAGTTAATTAACGTAAAAAGAATCTCTTCTTTAACTTAAAATAATAATGTTTAAAAATGATCTATTTTAACTACACTCTTGATGTTTACAAATTTTGAAATTGATATATAAATTTATCAAATGAATTTTTCTGATGTTTTAATTACGTTTAAATAACAATATATTTGTTTGTGTGTTTTTCCTATTGGTTTATATTTAAATTAATAAAAATGGCTAATTAATGATTTAAATATGTTAATTAAACAAAAATTAATATTATTTGAATTCAAATTCAAATTCAAATAATATTAATTCAAATTCCATTAATATTTTTTAATTATAAAATATTATTTTTTTAAATTATATTAAATTATTTATCGACCCTTATGTTAATGACTATTATTTGGAGTAATTTAATTTGTACACATAATTTTACAAATGATGAGTTTATAGATTATTGTATATCTATGAAAATAAGTACAACTGGTTCATTCAATGAATTTAGTATTTTTAATGATAAAACTATTTGTGACATTTTAAAACAAAAAGAATTTTTTGATTTTACTAATGAAGATGACGTTAAAAAATTGTTAAATAGTTTAAATACAAATTTAAAAGAAGATTTTTATATTTATGTTAACAATATTTTACATAACTTAAACAAACAATATGTTGATTTTATCAATGAATTTACTAAAAATCTAAAAAATAATGACTTATCTGCTAATATTTATAAATTTAAAGCTATCTTTGATATTATTAATGAAAATATACAAAAATTAATGATAATTTTAGATGATGTTTTACCTTATGAAAATGGTTTGTATTTATACTATGCTTTGTGTAATATTTCTTTAGTAGAAGAAAAAACTAAAGATCCACCACCCTGTTATCTTAGATTTGAGGTTATTTTTTTTGAAATAATAAAAGCTCTTGAGTTATCTAAAATAATTAGACCCATATATGAAAATCGTGAACATTTTTATTTATTAATTGTGTATTTAAAGAGTGAAAATTTAAGTGTATTTAAAAAAAGAATTGTTGAAATCTATAAAAACAATGAGTTTAAAATTGGTAAAATTTTAAATATAGAAGCTTGTAATAAAGATATAAATAAAATTGATTATCTTGGACAAACAATTTATAGTGATGTTAAAATTTTATTAGATAATAATTCCAAATTATATGATAAATTGTATGAATCAGCTAAAATATTTTATACTAATATGAAAGAAATTAAAGATGAAATGTGCCTTTTAAAAGAACAAACTTGTTTAGAAAAAGATAAATTTAAACATGTTTATAATTTTAAAAAAGAAGATAATGATCCTTTAAGATTTTTAAAAAATATTAAACTCAGTGATAGTTTTTTATGTGATATAACTAATGATTTAAAAAGTTTTGTTGATTGTAAAAACGACTCTTATATAAAAGAAGAGTTTGAATATGATATGGTTTATTATCTTAATCTAATTGAAGCTTGTTTTGGAAAAAAACAAATTAAAGTAGATTGTAAATCTCGAGAAGCCTTTTTTATTTATTTAAACAATTTAAAATTCTTTGTTAGTGTTTATAGATTTTTTGAATTGGATTTTAAAAAGTTAAATGATTTCTTGGAACTTTTATGATAATAAATTGATTAAAAATTTTTGTGTTTAACACCTTATAAAAGTTATTGTTAAAATTTAAATTTTCTATTAATTATATGAGTTGTCAATATATTTATAACTACAAAGATTGAACAACCTGTAATTTAAAATGTATTTTAAAAACTTAGATCAAAATCAATCAAACAACAGTGAACAAAATATTTAATTTTTAAAATTTAACATATTAATTAGTTATATAATCAAATTTAATACGTTTGTGGTGTATTTTTATAAAAAAATCTTTTTTAATAATTTAAATGTACTGAAATCACTAACAACTTTTTTTCATCAAATTCTGTATGAAAAATCATTTTTATTTAATTTTTAATCAAAAATGATTGTATTTTAATCAAATGATTAGTTTGTTCATTTTTATAATTTAAAGTATTACATACAATAAATAATCAATAAAATAAATGATTTTTAATAGAATACACCTGTAAATTTTTATAAAATTAATTTACTTCAATAAATACAAAAATAATTTTTAATATAAAAAACAATTTCAAACTAAATTTTAATAATTTCTTACAAAGATCAAAATTTACAATTTATTTTATACAAGTTTTTTTAAAAATTTTTGATTTCTAATAATGTTAATATTAGATTTTGTCTACTAAACATTAAAATAAAATAATATATTGTAATTATTTTTGTTTCATATAAGTTAAAAATATCTAAAATGTAAGTTAAAAAATTATTTTCTTACTACTTAAAATATTAACCCTTTTGTAGAAAACATTATTGTTACAATCTAAAGCAAAAGATGTCATTGTTTCAAAAAATATTATAAAATAAAACTATTTTTTGTCTATTAATATATAATATTAAAGTTTAAAACACATTCTAATAAAAAATCAGTTGAAATAATTCTATAAAACTACCAAAAAATAAAGAAGTTTTTAATAAAAGTTTATTGTTGCTTTACAATAGTTTTCTTCTTCCAAAACAATTTCCAAGTAATAAATATAAACAACAAATAGCCAATAAAACATCCAAAGAATATTAAATAAGGAATAAAAGATTCGTTAGAATCCTTTCCTTCTTTAAATATTCTTTCGATTGCTTCTGCCGGATTCTGTCTGTAATAAAAAGAAACAATTATTAAACTAAGAAAGATGCTATAAAAAGCAGCTGAAATAAAGTTAACTAATATATCTCTAACAAGCTTTACAAAGCAAGATAAAATAAATAATACAGCACATGTTATAAGATAATAAATATCCTTGTCTTGTAATTTAAAGATAAAAAGTTCTTGATCAATCACCCCTTTAAAACTTAATTTAAAACTAATCACTGCTAAAGCTAAAAACACCAATGTTCTATCTATAGAAACCAATCTATTAGATAATGCAAAGATAAAAATAAACGTACAATATATAGCATAATCAGCATATCTTCTAGTAGAATTTTGCAGTGAATCAATATCTAATATTGTAATAATTGAAGGGGGTTGTGGATAATTATCTTCGTCTAAACTGAATTCTTTAAAATTTTCTCCAAAAATTTTAAAGAAAGTTTCTAAATCGCCAGCATTTCCACTTTGATTTAATTCAAAACCTTTAAATCTATAAATTATTACGAAAATGAATTCATATAATAACATTCCACCAGGTATAGGTAAAGCAATTCCTCTAACATAGAAATTCGTAGCTAATAAACCAGTAGCAGTAAATAATGCAATGATGATAAACACATAAAAATCTACCTTCTTGAATAAATCAGTTCTACTGTCACCGGTGTTATTTAATAAATCACTAAGAACAGATCCAATCGTGAAAAACTCATATCTGAATGTTACATCAAAGACGTTAAAAACACTCTTGAGTAGATTTGCTTCTGTAGGCATTTAATAGGGGTAAAAAAACATTTTTTTTATAAAAAAGGGTAACAAATCTCAAAATAAAAATTCTATTTATTACTTAAACAAAAAGGATTTTCAATTTTTTAAAAATGATCGAATCTTTGATTATGTTTAAAATATTTTGAAAATTGTTTGTTATTTTTTTAATAAAATTTTAACCCTCAAATAATGGACAACTTAAAAGATAAAGTGCTTAAAAATCCTATGTTGCGTGATGTATCAGCTAAGATTGGTACCACACCAGAGAATGTTATTAGTGGTGTATTTGTATTCTTTATTTCACTGTTCTACAGATTTACATTTGGAAAGTTACTTAATAATTTGTTGTGTGTTTACTTACCTGTCCAGGAGGCTGTTGTCTTGTTACGATCCCAAACTACAAGAGTATCTGATCTTAACCGTGTTGTTATTGTCTTTATTATTTACGCTTTTGTAACTGTCATAGAGCCTTTTGCTTCCACTGCCATTCCTTTCTACGGTTTAGTTAAAATTGCTTTAATGACTGTTGTTTACAAAAATGACAGTGCCCGATCTACTATTAGAACTGTTGTTATTGACAGTATTCCTGACAAAATTTGTTGTAGTAATTCTTCTATCGAGAAGGCTCAAGCTGCTGCTAACAAACTCAACAACCAGATTAAGAACAATTTGAAACCTTCTCCTGCCACTACTAATGTTAAAGACAATTTAAAGAAGGTGGAGTAAATAAACTAATGATCTTACTTTATTTATTTTCACTGATTTTTCTTTCTAATTCTGCTATCTTTGTTTCATACTCTATCTTTAGTCTTTCTTGTGCTTTTATTAGTTCATTCTGTACAACAAGAAAATCAAAGTAATTTTGTTCCCTTTTTTTATAGGTGTATTTACTGTTCATGTGTGGTTTTATTTTATAAAACTTTGCATTTGATTTACTTCTTAATACTTGTAAAAGTTCATTCTGATCTTTACTTTTTGAAAACTTTTCAGTTTCTTCTATTAAATTTAAATATGTCATATTTGTAGCAAATACTAAATCTGTTAACCAAATGAAGGTTTCAAATTCCTCATTAATTATTTTTTCAAAAACACTTTTTGTATTATTAATTTCTTCTTTTATTTTTCTGTTATTCTTTAAATTCAATAGTTGATGATCTTCTACCTCTTCATATTTAAAATCATATGCCTCCAATAAACCATAATTTTCTACTAAATGACTTAATATTAATATTAACCTTTCTCCATTCATATTTGGTATTTTTATAAAATTTATAATCAATGGTAAGATATCTTCATTTATTCCATACATCAAAAACATTCTTTTAAAAACGTCAAAGATCTCTTCTTCGTTACTTAAATTATATATCTTTGTTAATTCAAATATTTTTCTTAAAATATGTGAATCAAATTCTATTGCCTTATTTGGAATATTATCAAATTCTTTGTTTAAATGATCAGATGTAATTTTTGAATCTGGATCACTACTTTCAAAAATAATTTTTAATTTTTCTTTAGCAGCTTCTATATTACATACGCATTTTAAATAAACTGATGTTCTGTAATTATAAGGTAGTCTTGCTATATTTTCATAAAACAATTTTCTTTCACATTCCTTACTTGAAAGAAAATCTACCCAAATTTTATATTCATCTTTTTTGGGTATACATGCTTCAGTACAATGTTTTCTAGTACAAAAAACCCTCTCTGTTCGATCCACATATTCCATATTGGTGTCTTTTTTAGATCTAAATATATTCCACTTCATTACTTTATGTATTAAGGGGTACAAAAAAAATTTTATTATAATAAAAATAATTCGTTAATAATTTTTATTTGAAACTAATCAATCTCCTTTATGGTAAAGATACCAGAAGAGAAAAAATCAAAATATGTTAAAAGAAGCACTTTACAATCAATAAGCACACTTAAAAACAACCCACTTGGAAATATAATTATAAAAAAGTACTCAGTTGGAACAAGAGTGAATATTGTTAAATTAAGCGAAGATTTATCAAAATTTTTATCACCGGATAACATTGAATTTAAAAAGAAATTTTTCTTTGATATATATGATCAAGATGGAGATGGGTTTATTTCAAACATAGATTTATTTGAAATATTAAAACACCTTAATAGCAACACCCTAGAAGATTATAAAATTCAAAATATAGTTGATCAAACATTTGCTGAAATTGGTGAGTATACAACCAAAATGTCTTTTAATCAATTTGAGACAATATTAAACAGAAGTCTTGATGATTTTGATAAAGTTCTTTAAATAAATTTATTTCAAACTTTTATATTTTCTAAATTGTTTTTTAATTAAACCCATGAAATTCGTCGGTAATCAATTTGTATTTCAAACTAATAAAATAATGAAAGACCTTTCTTCACAAGAAGGAATAGGAAATATTGTTGAGATGGAAGTTTATTCATGTAAACAAACAAAAGAATCAAAGAAAAATAATGTACTTCCAAAACCACTAAGATTTTTAATATCTGCTCTTGAACAACACCTACCAGACTATGATTTTAGTGAAACTTCTATGAATGCCTTTCAAATTGCAAGCAAGGAAAAGTTATTTACAGATCTTGACTTTGCTATTATGACAGCTATTAAAAATAGTAACGATGCAAACAAAATTTTAGCTTACTGGACAATTGTACTGAAATCAATTCTAAAATTAGACAAAACACAATTCTATATATTCAACTTTATTGAAGATAAAAATAACTTACTTTACCTTTTATATGAAAAAAATGGAAACAAAGTTGTTATCTTAAAGGTTGGAAATCTAATAAATACAAACTAACTTTCCTAATTAAATTTATTGGTTATCCTCAGTTCTCTCAATGGCAATGTCTTTAAGTGACTTAAATGATGCTACTGGTTTTGAACTTATACTGAAACATGTCTTGTCTTTATTATAGAAATCGGTACATTTTTGTACAAGTATTCTAATTCTTCCAACACATCCTTTGTTTCCTCTTGAAAATATTCTCATGTTAACATCTGGATGTATGTAAACATTATCAGTTGAGTTAAACTGTTTTTGAATAAACTTTTTCAATCGTCTTACTGCGCTTGATGCTTTACGGTTACTTTTACATCCATCAATCAACTTTCTTAAGTTTATGGTTATTTCATTTGCTTTGTTATCTACAACAATATCTGACATTTATGGGTTAAAAAATTTTATTAAAAAAATGATTTCCTATCATTTTGATAAAATCAATAAAAAAATTACATGGAAAATGAGTGGTCAAAACTTAATGATCTTAAGGTGGGTTTAGATATGGCTTCTTTAGCATTGAGACCAAATATAATTAATATGGCTGCTATTTATTTCAACAATGGTTATTATGTGGTTAACTTTATACTTTTGCTCCTGGGATTTTTCAGTGGTTTTTCTCTTTATATTTTATCTGAATCTGCTGCTCAATTAGAACGATATAACTATGCCAGTCTTGTTGGTACTGCTTTTAGTTATAAATTTATATTATTCTGTATTTGTGTGTTAAAAATAACTAGAATCATATTTACGTCTAATAACTTACTAGCAATTTTATCAAATTATGGTTTAAATAAGATTGTTAATGATAAGATATCATTTTTAGTGATGGTTTTTATCTGTTATCTTCTGTTTAGTTATTACAGAAAATATTATAAGTATTTAGCTCTTATTTCTGGTTGTACTGCTTTACTGTTTACTTTTACTGAATCAGTTGGTTCTGAGTATAAATTTTTTAGAAATGAAGATGGTTATATTTTTAACGATTTAGGTATATTAATGTTATGGCTGTCATCTCATCATGCTGTATTATCACTATATAAGTTTGATATGATGCAAAGAAGAGATCGGGTTATTTCATCATTTTTTAGTGCTTTAATTGATATTTTATTTTATATGGGAATTGGTACTTTCGGTATTGAAGCTTATCCAGAAACTGAGTCAATATGGATTAACAATCTTGAAAATCCTTAGTATAATTTTTTGACACTTGCTTATCTTACAATTAATATTCTCAGATATCCAAATGCTCTTGATGCAATTACTGAGGATGTTTTAAAATTTATTAATCTTGAAGAATTTATAGGAAGTAAAACAGAAAAATTGGTTACTTTTTTCATTAGCACATCAATTATTGCTCCTGCAACTTATTTCTCTAGTCTCAATGATATTAGACTTTGGTGTTTATTAATTAGTTCCTTGGTAATGTTTGTATTTCCTCCAGTGATAGGCTTAAGATTTTGTAAATTTAGTGTCGTAGATAGAACAATTATGATTATTACTCATATTATTGGTGTTGCTTTAGTTCTTATTGCTTTTTATGAAACTTTTGTTAATTAAATAAAGTTTTTTCATTAATTATTTTATATTACTATATTTAGTAATATAAATTTGATAAAGAAATATATTTTTTTAACACTTATTAAATATGATTTAAAATCAATTTTCTATTGAATTTATTTATTTAAGAAAAATGATTATTATACTTTAAAAAATTATAACAATATTAAAATAAATTTTATAATAAAAATATTCTTTATTAAATTATATTATCAATTTTTAGTTATTTTTTCAAAAAACATTTTAAAACTAATTTATTTAATAAATTTTCAATTAACTTGATTTGTATATTTTTTCTTAGAATAACAGTTTTATTCATTATGTGTAGTTCTACTTTCTTTTTTTTTCTTACTTAATATTAATATTTTATTTTTATTAAAACATATAACAAATATACCATAGTTAGTTTTTTAATTAAATATAAATTCTTTTATTACGTCAGATATTTAAAATTGATCAAATTTTAAATTCATTAAATATTTATTTAAATTTAAAAAACATTTCTAGTTATAATTAATGTTAATGTCAACTTTACTCCTTCAATTTATATTTATTTATTTTTATTTAAAACTTTATTAAATTATTTTAAATAAAATTAAAATTTATTAAAATTAAATGAATTTACTACCCATTCATTACCTAATTTAATCAAATTAACATAACAAGAATAGTTTTTAGGAAACCTTTTAAACTCTCCTTTAGAATTTTTTCCTATTAAATCAACTGATAACTCAAATGACATAATAATAGTTTTCTTTAAATTTTTAACTGTAATATTATCTATACTAACATTTCTTATATCCCTAACTTTTATTAGTTTTTCTTTAAGATCTCTGTTCTCCATTATATCACTTCTTATCTCTTTTAATCGTTCAACAGTGTCAGGTAAAACTTTTTTAATCTCTTTATACTCAAACAAATCAAACATTAAATTTACTATCTGATTATTTCTGATGTAGTTTAACATTTTATAGTTATCATAAGATCTTGTTATAAAATTATCATATTTACATCTAGTTGGTTTATTAAAGTCTGGTCTGCTCATATATTGTATATTAAAAAAAGTTGTTTGAAAAATACTAAATTCAAAATTCCTTAACATATCTCTTGATTTATCTAATGTTTTTACTAAAAAATTATTAGTAATCTTTTCTTTTAATTCTTTATCATTATTTAGTTCAATAATAAAGTTCTTTTTAAAACGATCTCCAAAATCTAAAATTCTATTAATAAAAGCTCCCATTTTATAAAATCTTTTATAAAAATTTTATCAGAAAAGATTTTATAAAAATATGAATCAAATAAAAAATGATCTAAACAAAGAAGAGAAAGAATTTATTAACAAAGTAATTGCTAATTCTAAAAGAATAGATGGAAGGAAATTCAAGGAACAAAGAGAATTTACTTTTAATTCTATAAATAACAATTCTTATATTTATACGTTAGGAAACACTGCTTTTGAAATGAAAGTTGATTATAAAGGAAAGACATCTGAAAATAATTATATTGAACCAAGTGATAAACTTTTAAGCTACATTCCTGATTTTATTTTAAAAATGGAAGTATTAGAAAAATATTTATCTGAAATTAAAATATCTGTTTCAATTGATATAAAAATATATAGAGATGATGGTAATGTCTATGATGGTGTATTTAATTGTTTATCATCTATATTTTCTGATATACAAATACCTTGCTTAAACGTACTTGATAATACCACCTCTTCTTTATATAAAGATAATATGGAAATGATCAATAGGAAATTTTTTAATGTTAAAATTGATCTTGGATTTTCCACCACATACGCTATTTTTGGTACACAAGGTATAATTGATCCTATTTTAGCTGAAGAAAATTCCTGTGATGCCACATTACATATCCATGTTATGAATTATAATATAAAGTATTATTTTAAGAGTGATGGAAAGTTATCAATCAATGATATTCTAGAACTTTTTAAACTTAATTAAAATTTAATCTAAAACTTTTTTAACTGCTTTAAGTTAAATAAAGTGTTTCTTAAAGTAATCAATTTATTTAAAATTGGTTTTAAACTTTAAATTAGTATTTAATAACTTTTCTAAGTTGTCATTTATATATTCTATAATCTCATTGTCAACAGATTTGTCTAGTCCATTGATCTCACAAATAACTGAAGTATATGTCTGTATGTCTCTGTTATTTAAGATACCCATTCTGTCAGAAAAGAATGGAAAGTTCTTAATTGTACATAGAAAATCACTATTTATTCCGATATGTGGTTTACTCGCACCCTGCATATGATAACGTTCAAATGCGTACTTAATAAATTCATGGTCTATCATTTCATTAACTTTAATTAAATTCTTTTTTGATTGGGGTTTGATCTGATTTTCTTTAGTTACATTTTTAACTTGAACTTCCTTGTTATCTTTAAGCAGATAAAGAATAGATTGGTTGTATTTATAAATGTCTAAATTCATTTCGCTCAGCTTATTTTTTATTTGTTTTGTAGTAATTTTATTCTTAACATGCATTCCAAGAAGTGAATAAATTTTAGGATCACTCATCAAAATTAAGGGGATTTGAATTTAATACCAAAAATAAGGAAAAAATAAATAAGACCTGCCGTTTATTTGTTGAATCTGTTTCATTAATCATAACGTTGTTTTGGAATTTTTAATAATTGGCAGTTTAAATTTATCACTAAGATCTGCTAGATTGACTTTCTAAATTATTTAATAGACTCATAAAATCAATTTCTGAATTTTTGGAGAAAAAACCAGGTTGTAATTCAGATCTTTGTACTTTTGAGAAAATTAAATCTTTTAATTTTTTAAGAAGTTCTTTTTCATTGCAATTTGATTGTTCATTGAGCAAATTGATACAATTTTCGAATATTTCTTTAATTTCATTGTCATTCATTAATATAATCTGACGATTTTGATATTCGTCATTATTTTCATTAGATTTCATATTAATTTTCTTTTTAAAGTCCATAATTTTATAAATTGGGTAATCATCAGTTGAATTAGTAGAATAACTATCATCTATATTTTTTTTCAATATCCACCATTCTATTACCAATTCAGAATTGTTTAAAAGTAGACTTAAAAAATTAACATTTTCTTCCAAACCTTGTACAGATGATTGATCTCTCAATAAAAACACATACCTTATAAAAATTCCTATGTCCATAATTGAACTCCTTTTCCTTTTTTAATTATTGTTACATCCAATTAAAATTTATTTTTAAATAAAATTTTTAACCCCAAATTACACTCAATTAAAGAATGGAACCCACTAAGAAACTTTCTAAAAAACATGAGAATTTAAATTTAATTGACGATAAAAAATATAAGTTTCAAAATTTGATAGATGATATGGAGTATAAGATTATAGAATGTAAAAGGATTATTGATAGAATTGATAATGAGGATCAAATTACTAATTTGAAAAATAAAATAGCTAGATATGAGTATAGGAGGAACCATTATATTGAAATAATAAACCAAATAACAGATAAAACTTTAGCTAAAAAGTTTAAAAGAATTAACAATAATTCTTTAAAAAAATTTAAATTTCCAATTATTGCACTACAACCCCTCCAAATTGAGGATTATGAATTGAGTGAAGAGGAAACAGAATTTACTAATGAGCAGTTTTGTTATATGGGACATGTTTACAACCTTAGAAATAGACTTGAAACTAATTTATTTGAATTATATAAGTTCGATCACTTTATTTCAACAGCTGATCATTGTGATGATCTAATTTTAATAGGAACTAAAAATGATGAATCTGATCATAAAATTTTTGATTTCAGTTCTAATGAAACAAAATTAATAATAACAGACTTTAATTTAAATATTAAAAATCAAATACCAGTTCAAGGACCTATTTGTAAGATAAAATTGTTTAAAAAAAGAGAAAAGTATAATTTTTTTACTTTGTTTAATAATGGAAGTTTTAAAAGATATGAAATAACAGAAAACTATGAGATTAATGAAATATGGAATTGTGAGGTTTGTAATATAATTGATTTCAGCTTTGAATTAATAGATGATAAAGAGTATTTAATATACACAAATGGTAAGATGATATATTCTGATGATTATTTTACAACTGAATTTATATACCCGGTGATTTCATTGGCAATAGGTGCTTTTGATGATGTAATTGAATATTACATGATAACCAGTGTAGGTAAAATATTAGCTTGTAATATTAAGTTTGAAAATTTTCGGATATTGAGGTATTTAAAGGGGGTGGTTAATATGAAATATAATTTTGATTTAAATGGACTTATTGTAAATTCATGTGATGGAGAAGAACAAATTATCATTTACACAATAAAACCACCAACAAAGTCATCAAATCCAGTAGTTTACATCAATTCATATTATGATGGGATAATACACGCCTATCGTAATTCAAACAGCAAGAAAAAACACAATTTTATCCTTCAATTCCATAAAAGCAATAATCTTTTTATAATTGATGAAACTAAATCAAATCCACCAACTAAAATATATTTTCCTTTTGTAAAATTGATTAAGAAAAGATTACTGATAGTAACAGAGTTAGGAATAGTAATTAATTTAAAAGTGGTTTAAGAAATAAATTTATGTGTCATAGTTACAATTAAGGAATTTTTTTATTTATCTAATTATTAAAAAATTAATTAGAAAAAGAATCATATAAAATTAGTCTTTTATATTTTATAGAATTATAATTGTTTAATTAAGGAATTAATTTAACATAAATAAATTAAAAAAATTATTACCCATAAAATGAGTAATACAGGAAATAGTTTACCACCTTTTATTATTAAATTAATCAATATGTTAGAGGACCGTAACAACAGTAAGCTTATTCAATGGTCAGATGATGGAACTGCTATTGTTATCATGGAGCCAGCTGAATTTGCTTCTTTTGTTCTACCGAGACATTTTAAACACACGAACCTTAATTCTTTTATTAGACAGCTAAATAAGTATAATTTCCATAAGAGAAAATCTAGTGATCAGATAAGACTTTGTTATGGAGAAGATATGTGGATTTTTGCAAATCCTTATTTTATAAGAAATAGACCTGACTTAATATCACAGATTACTAGAAAGAAAACTGCCCAGGAATGTAAATCAGTAGGATATTCATTTAATGAAATAAGTACACAACAGTTAGATGATGATTCAGATAATGAGTCTCTTAATGAACAAAATATAATAAGTATCTTTCATTCTTATGTTATTAATTTTGCCAGAAAGAGTACTAAATATTTTGATTGTTTAATTGATGAAATGACTCAAATCAAAAGAACAATATCTGATATGTCAGAGAGACAGAATAAGTTACAGAAAATGGTATTATTGGCCCAGGGATTTCCATACTACAAAGTATTAATAGCTGAGGATAATTCAAAATGTTCATTAATTGCTTATAAGTCAGCCCAGTCATACGGGTTCGAGCCCGTTATAGTGGATAATATTAGAAATTTATTTTCAAATTTCAAAACTGGTTCATTTGAATTGATAATATTAAGTGCTAAACTACCAAATATTAACAAAATTATTGAAAAGATTAGAATAGAAAATAGCCAAATACCAATTATTCTTACCTGTAGTGAAGAACATAATTCTAATGATATATTTACAGTATTTAAAGGTATCAATGGTGTTATTTATAAACCTTATGCAGCTGAAGAATTATTTCAAACTATCAAACGTGTGATTACAAGTTTTATGGCATATGAAAATTCTAATATTGATAAAAATATTCCAAAAGAGGCAAAATCGTTTTATTATGAACAATAAAATTTATAATTATGTTATTTAGGTATTTTTATAACTTTTCTATACCACTTACGTCTCTTTGGTACTTTTTTTATTTTAAACGCGCCTTTGTAAATATACCCTGATAATCTCTTACCAGTGTCATATTCATTTTTATCTATTAAATTATTATTAACTAACTCAATAAATTTAACTCCATCTATAGTAATGGGTGGATCTTGTAATATATCTTTAAATCTTTTCTCTCTTTTAAATATATTAATATCAGACTCTTTATTGAATTTCATTAACAATACTAACGAAGGTCTTTTAAAATACTTTTTAACACGGTTTATCTCATCTTGGATATTTTTATCAGAACTAACATCAAATATATAAACACTATTTCTTCTATACCAAAGAAAAGTTAAAAAAGTTATAAATATAATAAAATTGATTATTAAAACAATGTTTTTAACCCCGCTTTTAAGGTTCATATAATAAATTAATAAAGGAATAAAAGATAGTTCTATTACTAATACCACTAAAGTAATATTAAGAATTACACTGTTATCAAATAGTAGTTCTGTGCATATGAAAAATGCTATTAATATAATTATTTGAAAGAAAAAAGATACTTTGATGTTAAAAGTTGATTCTGAATTTCCACTTTCACTCATTTGTTATTGTTTTTGCGTCAGAATTATTTGTTTTAAATATTTGTTTTAAAAATAATCATTTATTAAATATCAACAACGTTTCTAAAATAACTAGCCTCAGGAATGATATCAATTTTATATAAAGATCTCCACACTATACCGGATAATCTAACTTTAGTATCTTCTCTGTCATCGGGTGTGAAAAGTTCTGTTTTTAACTTTTTTTCAAATTTCTTTGTTTGGTTGATTGAGGGGTTGTCGTTTAAAAAATTTTCTTCTTTAGCAGCTATAGTGTTAATTGTATTTTCATCTAAACTTTTTGGAACTAAAATAACTACCGAATAGTAATCAAAATACGATAATATATTATTCTTTTGATCCTCAGTTAGTCTATTACTAGAGCTATTAATAAATATTATTCTATTTCTTCTATACCATAATAATAATAATAGGGTAGTAAACAATATAAAGTTTACTACACAAATAAGCATTGCGGTTTTCTTTTTAGATTTAAATATGAAGAATAACAATGGAAACAAGGCTAATTCAAATTCAATAACTAAAAGTACACTATTAAATCTTACACTGCAATCATAAATAATTTCTGTGAATATTAATAAAATTATTAACATTGTTAATTCTATTAATACAAATAAACTAATCAACTTAGAAGAAATTTCTTCATCTTCTCCTTCATTTGGTTTATTTTCATTTGTTTTTGTATCTTTATTTTGATCTTCATTTGTTTTATTTTGATTATTAATATTTCCTTTTTTATCAATAACGTCATTTTTTTGATCTTCTTTTAAATTACTATCTTTATCTTTTTGATCACCCTGATTTGAACCAACATTACCTTTTTGATTACCCTGTTTTGAACCATCATTATCTTTTTGATCACCCTGTTTTGCATCTTCTTTACCTTTTGAATCACCCTGTTTTACATCTTCTTTACCTTTTTGATTACCCTGATTTGAACCAACATTACCTTTTTGATCACCCTGATTTGAACCAACATTACCTTTTTGATTACCCTGTTTTGAACCAACATTACCTTTTTGATCACCCTGTTTTGAACCATCATTACCTTTTTGATCACCTTGTTTTAAATTATCTTTACCTTTTTGATCACCCTGTTTTGCATTTTCTTTACCTTTTTGATCACCCTGATTTGAACCAACATTACCTTTTTGATTACCCTGTTTTGAACCAACATTACCTTTTTGA